AATAAATAAAGATAAGTTATTGTTAAGAATTTTAATTATTATATTTTTATTACAAACTAGCAGTAGAGTCCGGCGTTGCCCGGGGATGTAACAGTAAGAGATAGATCAAGTATCAACCATCATAAAGACTGAAAAATAAAATTGACAAAGATTATTGTTTAAGGTTGATGGACATGCATGTCTTAATTAGTTTTTTTTTGGTTTTGTTTTGTTTTTTTTTTGTTTTTTTTTACGAATTAGTCAAACTCAAATAAAAACATTGTTTTCAATTGTTATGAGTCTACCGATTGAATAGAATTTTATTATAAACAATTGTCTTGTAAATGGAATTTTTAAAGCATTCTGAATGTAAAAATAAAGAAAAAAGTGTGCAAGACAATAAGAAACACTACCTGCCAAAAAAAAGTGAAGTTTTATTGAAATTGGTTGAAAAATGTATGAAATCCGATCCCATATATAAATGAACACACACTCACACACACAAACAACCTGGGTTTTATAAGTATAACTCGATATGAGTTGTCCCCCTTTCATTCTTGCAACAGCGATGCTTCTTAATCGTGTTTTCAAATTGATTTCGTGCAAAAACAATTGTGTTTTTCCAATTTTTGGCGCTGTCAGAACCACCGCAAGGTAATTTTACGTAGTCCTGTGAAGTTTTGTTGAAATCGATTGAAAAATGTAGGAAATCTGATCCAATATATAAACGTATAGACACACACACACACACACACACACAACCTGGGTTTTATAATAAGTATGATTATAATAAATTTTTTTTTTAATAAATAAATAAATCATAAAAAATATACTTTTTCTTTTTTTACTTTTTTTTGATCATCATAATTTAAGTGTCGTGCAGAAGTTCAATAACTCTAGGTTCAAGTGTGCAGTGAGATAAAAACTCGGTTGAAAAACATTGGTCTAGGGAGACTGATTTTAGGAAATAATCATGATAATTGTGTGATTCCTGCATAAAAAAAAGTTATTATTTTATTATACTTTCTTCTGCTTGTCAGGAAAACTAAAAGGCCTACAGTTCTGGTTAGTATGAAATGTCATTTTTGAAATGGAGCTGGCAGAGTAAGTCCCCAATGCTGTCAAGTGACACTAGCAGACAATAAATGAGAGAGAGAGAGAATTTATAAGTAATACAAAACAGCTAAAAAAAAAGTTATTTTTTCTAAAAGATTTCATTCAAAATTTTAGAATTCCTTTTTTTCAAATTTAAAATAAAGGCTTTATGTGATTTAAAAGTAGCAGTTTCAGAAAATTTAATTTTCTGAAAATAAAATATGAAAACAACAAAAAAAAAACAAACTACCAAATGAAAACTTTGAAACCCCAAAACAATAACGCTGTTTTTAATCTTGTCTAGACTTCATTTTTAAAAAAAATTAATTAAAAAAAAAATTATTTTATTTTAATCCCTAATTTTGTTGTTTTTTAGTGGTATTGGAAAGAGGTAACGTGGGAGGGATTTTTGTCACCAATAAGAACCTTAGTTTTTTACCCTTTTTAGTTTTTAGTATTTATTTATTTATCCAGTATTGTCCCATTTTTATTCATTCTTTCCTTACTACATCTTTTTATTTATTTATTTTTTAATGAAATCAGCTAAAGCTTGAAAATTTTAATTGCACAAGAAGATTTTGGGGCCGCTATCCATTTACTTCTTCAGTAACCAGCGCCCGCACCTAAGTCCATTGTCACCGATACCCAAGCCGGCTCGACGTCGTCAGGACTTATATCCTACACCCAATTTTATTTAAATTTTTCCCCCTTTTCATTTTCTTTTCCTTTCAAAAATTCTCCTTCCCTTTTTCCCACTTCTTCATCCGTTTTATTTATTTATATTTATTTATTTTCTTTTGCTTTCTTTTTTTTTTTTTAAATTCAAAACACAATAGTCACTCTTTCGGACTGATACACCCGAGCTATGACCTAATTTCTCATGTAGTAAATTAATGAGAATGGAACATTTCAATGATTACACAGACATACACACAGGCACACTTATTAACCTAGTCTCTTGATAAAAAATAAGGGTGACGGAACAGGGTGGGGGTGACTCTAAGTAGGTATGGGGGAAGTGAGAAGGACTAGAAGAGAGCATTAAAGGTAATTTAAATTTTTTTTTTGTTAGTCAATTTAATTTTATTTTAACTGATAAGGCAGAACATAAAAAACTGAAGATATTAAAGTTGAGAAGTGGAAGTAAAGTTTGAAAGTGTGTGTGTGCGCACGCGCGCACTTCAGACTGAAATAGATTTTTTTGTTGTACCTATGTTTTATGAATGCACGTTGTATTTCCAGATACATGAAAATGAAAAATACACACGTCTGTATGTGTCGGTGGAGTGACCGGAAAAAGTCACAATTTCGGTTAGGAAAAAAAAGTTAAAATTAATTTATGTTGGCCGGTGTCATCTATTTCTGTCGGGTACTTCACGAGTTTATAGGTCTGCTCTGCTTCCAACAGAAATTCATAGTAAAAAAAAAAAAAAAAAAAAAATGAAGTAAAAATCGATCCAACTTTTCTAAAATCGTTTTCAAACAATGATATGTTTATCATAGGTAGACCTAGCATCCCGTAAGAAGAGCAAGACCCGACTTTATGTGAAGAAAATCTTAAAGAAGAACGGTATTTTTTCGATTTGCGCCAAAAACATAAACCAAACACGGAGATCGTATACAAAGAAAGCCGTAAAAAAGTTGTCTTTTTTTTAACAATGCTACAGTCATATATTCTATATAGCCTTAGTATCCCATAAGAGAAGACCAGACTTTATGCGAAAAATGTCTCAATTTGACATTTAAAATTTGAATTAAAAATTCCTTGAATTTTCAATTTTTATGGGACTGGGGTTTTGTCCACTTTTGGGTTTTTGTCGCTGGGTGCCAGCCTTGCGTTGTTTCGTTTTTTCCTGTGACTTTTTTTTTTAAACCTAGATTCATTGGATGTTTTGTTGATCTTTCTATCAAAAACTGGCAAATAAAGATAGAGAAAAAAAAGTAAAACAAAGTGGAATTTCTTTGTTTAATTAAAAATCTTAAAACCAATACATATTAAAAACAAACAAATAAAATCAGTAAAATTAAAAATATAATGATTAAGTAACTTTCAATATTATGCAAGAAGCAAGACCGTCGCGTCGCAAATCGGACTTTTTAAATCAGGAGGGACCGCAAATAAGAATTTGCATGTTTAGTTTAATTTCCACAGGGGTGGCCAGACTCCCCACCTGACAATGAGACTACACACACAGTGCTCGATTTAAAATAACAGAGCTAAAATTTATACTATACATTGGTTCATTAAATATTGGTTCCTAACTATTTGGCACATTTGAGTTTCATCATGTACGTGGCAATTGTCAAGCACAAATTGAAAACTCGACTGCCACGTCACGTGCATGAAACACAGAAATTGCATCAATTGGCGAGGAACAAAAATTCAACAAATAACAAATGTATTTTCAAAAGTACGTCGTAAAGTAATGGATCTTTAAAAATTCAAACATTATTTCTTAAATACTATACAAAAAAATAGTTATCTTTTGGGTACATGTGTTTGAATAGAGGTCTATTTTTATTTTAAAAAAAGTAAAATTAATGTTTAAATGTTTACTGGCTTTTAGTAGGACTCTAGACCGGGAAATATAAATAAAAACATGTCTACTAATCAAGCACCTCTCTAACTCATAGTGTTACACAATAAAATCCAAAATCACCTCATATGGGGAATAAGCTTATTTCCGCTGGCTTATATACAAATAAGCTTATAATATACCAACGGATTTATTAACTTTTTTAGTTTTATATGTGTATATGTGTGTGTGTGTGTTAGAAAAATCAATGACATATGTTAAAAAAAAACGTGTGACGCGTTTCTTTCCTTCTTTAGGACTTCATCAGACTCTAAAATGTTTACGTTGGTATTACTACATATGCGCACGAAGGAGGAGGGACGCTGAAATAATTTTCTCCCAAATGGTCTGATTTGTTCAAGCGTGAAGCAGACTGTCGCCACTCGAAGTTGACCGCAATGCTCTCTCTTATATATTCCTGAAATAAAACTATATATATATATATATATATATATATATATATATATTTAGCTATCAATATTAATATCAATATTTATCTATAGATAGAAGTAAAATTCAATTGTATTTTTTTTTTTACTTTAGTTTTGAGAGTACATGCGTGTGTAGTGTGTCAAATACAAAGGGTACTGAAATGTTTTCAACCCTGCTCATTACGCAGAAGCTCCCCAAATGTGTAAAACAAATAATACCAGATTCTTTAAAAAAAAGTTTTTCAATCAAAGAGATTTTTGATCCCGTCTCAAAATTTTTTTTTTACTAACCTTCATATTTAAAAACATTATAATGGAAATGAAATACATGTTTTTGATAATTTTCATATAAAAAAATAATGCCGATGTGTGGGCCATATGGGAACACTTTTGTACACAAACATGAAAAAATTACATATTGCAGTTATTAGCGCATAAATTTCTCAATTTATTAATTAAATTATTATTATTATTATTAAATACATGCATACATACAATCGTAAGTACGTACGCACGTTTTTGTATGTATGTGTAACGCGTTGTGCATATATATGTAAGTGCCCCGGACTTAGTGTTACCACCATGACAATGACGACCCCTACCATTTCTCTTTCTTTTACTACTGTCTACTACTTTCTTCTGCTTCAGTCACTATGAGTCATTTTCTTACTCCGAGTGCCTGCGAGATTTTTGGTCCCCAGTTCCACTACAGACAAAACTCCCCCGACCCATTACTTTTCTTCTTCTTCTGGGGACGGCACGCCCGCCCGCTAGCCCGGGTGACGCAGGTTTCGCTACCAATTTCCATTTTGTCTGACACATATCTTTGACAGTGTCGTTTACTCTTTGCTTAATTATAAAAGTATGGCAGAAAAGACTGGGTGTTTGTGAAATATATTCGTGTTACGGAACACCCCCATCAGGAGTAGGACCAGAGATAGCGACATACTGTGAAGGGGTGGGGTGGCAATGAAGATCTGTTAGGGAGTCCTATTTCAGTGTGGATGTGAGATGAGGAGAACGCCATGAGAGAAGAAAAAGGGAGGGAAGAAGAGAGAAGGAAAGATGGGAGATATTTCTTAAGAGAGATAAAGGTAGAGAAAAAAAAAGGAAGATATAGGTTTGGAGGAAAGAAAAGAAAGATAATGATAGGGAAGGAAGGAAAAAGACAAAGACGAAAAAGAAAAGTGGAAAATAAAATAAAGACAACAGTGAAATAAAAGTAAAAAGGGATTATTAATATAATAATAATAATAATGTATGCATACAAAGGAAAGAAATAATGAAAAAAGTGTCTGAAGAAAGACGAAAAAAGGTAAATGGAAAAAAAAAACACAAGAAAATGGAAGAAAAAACTGTCAAGAAAAAGAAAAAAGATGAAGAGGAAAAGGAAGAAGAAAACAAAAAATTGTTGAGAGGAAAAAGAAAAAGAAGAAAAACAGAAAAATAGCCAAGGAAAAAAAACGGAAGAGGAAAAGGATTAATTAAGAAGAAAAAAAGAAAACAAAAATTGCCAAGAAGAAAAGGGAAAGAAATAAGAAGAAAAAGAAGAGGGAAAGAAATAAGAAGAAAAAGAAAAGGGAAAGAAATAAGAAGAAAAAGAAAAGGGAAAGAAATAAGAAGAAAAAGAAAAGGGAAAGAAATAAGAAGAAAAAGAAGAGGGAAAGAAATAAGAATAAAAGAAGGGGAAAGAAATAAGAATAAAAAGAAGAGGGAAAGAAATAAGAATAAAAAGAAAAGGGAAAGAAATAAGAAGAAAAAGAAAAGGGAAAGAAAAAGAAAAAGAAAAGAAAAAAAAGAATAAAAAGAAGGGAAAGAAATAAAAAAAAAAGAAGAGGGTAAGAAAAAGAAGAAAAAGAGGTAGGAAAAAAAAGAGGAGAAAATGAGAAAAAAGAGGAAAAGGAATAATAATAAGTAGTAGTAGAAGGAGATCAGATCATGGTAATGCCGATTAATCATTAATGAAAAGAAGCAAATAGAAAAATAAATAAATAAATGCAAGAGAAAGAGGAGGAGAAGAAAGAAAGAAAGTCAAAGAAATACTAGATGGGAGAGGAAAATAAAAAAAAAGAGAAGAAAGATGAAAACATTCAAGCACCAACAGAAAAGTATAAAATACAATAATAAAAATATGTAATTTAAAAAATAAAAGAAAACAAATTTCAAATAAAGAAGAACTAGATAAGAAAAATAAAAGACATTTTTCTTTTTTTTTTTAAATGAATGAATGAGTGAATGAAACATTTCGAAGTGTAACAGAGAACTATAAATAAACTTGAAAAAATTGAGCAGACCCACATCTACACACACACACACGTGTAGAACTGAGATCCCACATCTATACACACGGGTATGTCTGAATAAGGGAGAAAATTTAATTTTAAAAAAATTTAAAAGTTATTAGTTCACACATTGACAGATGTACGCATATATGTGCACATTGATATATACACATATGTACACACATGCTGCTGTGGACAAAGAAAGATTTTTCTTCAAATTTAAAAAAGAATTGAATTATGGATATGTGCACTTCCATACACACGGTCAAATGTGGATGACAAAGAATTTTAAATTTAAAAATGAATAAAATGCACACACACATACACACACATACATACACACACATGCAAAGAGAAGGGGAAGAAAAATGACACACAATAAAAAATATTTAAAAAAATATATACATACACATATGATGACACCTTATAAACACACACATTTATGAACTGAACAAATATAGACACACACCCATGCAGACAGATAAAAGAAATTAAAATTTAAAAATTAACAAGGCATACACACTTCAATAAGAATAAAATTTCATTTGCTTATGAACGCTTTCCATACACAGATATAGAAAATACATAAAAGAATATTATCGGAAAAAAGTTAAATTATTCATTTACATATTTTATCACATACAAAACACCTTTTTTTCACTTCATATATATATATATATATATATATATATATATATATATATATATATATATATATATATATATAATTATTAATGGATGCTTTAATCTGACCATTTCTTATACTTAATGCTGTTCTTATAAATATAATATTTATAACAATAAGATTATATATATATATATATAAAAATTTTGTTATGAGAATATAGATATATGGAAAATAAAAAAAACATGGATAAATGAGAAATATGGATATAAAGCTTATTTATATATATATATGTTCATATATATATAAAATATCTTCATATATGTATATATATATTTGTATGTTCATATATATGTCTATGCCTATATATATATATATATATGTAAATGTATGTATGTATATATAGATATATATAAATATGTTCATATATATATGTGTGTATATATATATATATATATATATATATGTATGTATGTATCTAAATATGTTCATATATGTGTGTGCGTATATATATATATATATATATATAAGTAAACATTGAGGTGAAAATCAAGTGGTGCCAATCTATTACATGTTTGAACAGAGTTTTCAGACCATGTTCTAGCATGAAACAGACTGTCGCCACTCGGTGTTGGCTTCAGTGCTCACTCTTATTTTTAGTTATGCTCTATACTGGATATTGAGCGCTTTTACTCATAAATATAGCATACCATAAAATTATGTTTTTATCTCATATTTACCTGCGTTTATATATATATATATATATATATATATATATATATATATATATATATATATATATATATATACACACATATATATACATACTTCTTATTAGTTTACATATTGTTTTTTCTGGATGCATGTTTAGTGTAATAGGAAATAATGTTGAAATAAAGATGAAATCAATTAAATCCTTAGAAATATAGACACACACACACAATATATATATATATATATATATATATATATATATATATATATACATAAAGCACACTTTCTCCAATAAGGAATATTTTTCCACCATAAATTATAATATATATATATATATATATATATATATATATATATATATATATATATAATGTAGACAATAGTGGCAGCTTATTTATCATAGTTTTGTCATTAATAATAATAATAATTATGCTTATTGATATACATAAAATTATATAATTCAAGATATATTACAGTGAACTTAATTTCTGCCAATAAAGTGCTTGACAGTTATCTTGGCCAATAATTATTGAATCAGAGATAGTAAAGTTTATAATACTTATCAGATGTCAACTCTGATTTTTGTGATTTCTCACTCTTCAGGATTTCAGAGAAGAGTGATTGTATTTATATATAAGTTAGAATAATAATACAAATGAGAAAATATGTGAAAATGAAGAGAATTTTATGTATTTTTTAGGATAGTGAAACTATTGCCAAAAAGTGCCAAATAGATAACAATGTTTGATATGCGCATCAGGGCTAGATATGTGATTTATCAAATTTTGATTTATCAGACATCTATCTCTGATGAGCATTTCAACATGAAACACTTGAGTCAGCTAATCAGACAAGTCACTTGAGATTTTCTTAATTTATTGTATAGAGATATATAAATGTCTCCCAAAGAGTGAGAAATCACAAAGATTCTTTCACTTGCCAGTAGTTTAACATTACCCAAGGATACAAATTTATTGTCAAAACATAATTGCCATCATGTAGTGATATTTAGCATTGTTTTAATATCACAAAATAAATAATATATATCTAAGATATATATATATATATATAGAGAGAATATATATATATATATATATATATATAAGATATATAATATATATTTATATATATATAAGATATACATAATATATATTTATATATATGATATATATAATATATATATATATAAGATATACATATATGTATTTATATATATATGATACATATATATAAATGAAATTTAATTTTATAAATATATATATCTCTTATATGATATATAAATGTATATCTTATATACATATTTTATATATATATATATATATATATATATATATATATATATATGTATATAAATAAAAAAAAAAAAAACAGTAAGTTATATAATCCGGTGTTCTTTTTAAAAAAAAAATTGCTTGAGGATGAAATGGAACTAATGTCTTTAATTTAATTACAAAATTAAATTTGGGGCTTTTAGCTTCCATTTTTGAAACATGGTTAGAACTGTGTAGCAAAAAAAAAACATATTTTAAATCAATTAATTTATTATATATATATATATATAAGATATATATATTTATAAAATTAAATTTTTCTTATCATATCCCTATTCTGAGTTTTGCAAAGGTCAAATCTACTCATTAGCTTATGTGATTGTAACATTTTACTACCAAAACTTTTACAGTTGAATCCCCTGACAAGATACAGCATTAACAATAATAAATAGAAATGCTCATGAAAAATGAATGTAATTTCTGTGAAGACAAGATAAATGAATATTTAATGCTAACACACACACAGACAACATATGTATTACACAAAAATGCATTTAAACTAACTCAATTTTGTGGTAATATACACTTACCCAATCTTTTTATTTATCATTGAAGGGATCCCTGGTAGCCTATACCTTAAAGAAATAAAAAAATTTCTTCCCACAAGTACAGCTCACACTTTACAAAGGGCTTTAGCTATGTAAAATGTGTGTGACCTTAGGTTGTTTTATTTTTATTTTTTGACACAAATGTTCAATGGAAAATGCCATGATGCCATTTCTGTATACAACAGAAATCAAAAGATGATGATGATGATGATGATGATGGCATAAATCAAAAACACCTAACAAAACACAGTCCTGGGTATGACAATAAACTACACCCTGCAACAAGGCCTTTGATTGGGAGATTGGAGGTTTTGTGGAGCATGGAACCACCTCTTAACTGCTGTTGTTCCCAGGCCCACCCTCACCAGGTGTGGTAACACTTGTTAGGGCTCCAGCTATGGGTGAACCACCAAACAAAAACAAAACACTATGAAAGTATAAAAACACACATTTATATTAAAAATACCAGCAATACATTTTAAAGCAAAATAACCAGCAATACTTTTATCTGTAGTTGAAAGTATAGAATTGCATTCAAAATATATTTAGCTGAAGCCATAAAACTGTGCTCAGATTATTTAAATTTCAGCATTAAATAACCCATAAAAGTTGATATACTGTTTAACCAAACAACCAACATGAAAGAATTTTATAACATTAATTCATATAATATCTGTCAATTTCTTATATCAAATAGTATTCCAAAATATTACTTCAGTAAAACTACAACATAAAACATCCATATCACTGCATCTGTTATGTGCACATAAATATGTACATGCACAAAAGCTGAGTATCATCTTCCCATGTATTCCATTGTGAAAGCAGATATCCTATTTATATTACTTCAAAACAGCCAAGAAAATTATATTTTGGCATTAAATGACCCATAAGGAGTCGATGTGCCATTAAACAAACAAATCAATCAATCATCCTAATAAAACACATTAAATTACTAGAATTGAAGGCATTTAAAGTTGAGCAGATTTTTAAAGAAAGTGCTGAATGCAGAAACTACAGCAACAATGATTAAATGAAGAAAGATTCAAAGGAGTTATCTCTGTGGCCAACTTTAAGTTTTGCATGTCAACCATTTGTCAGGGTCAGAAATATTAACATAAATTCAAATTCATATATTTCAGAACAAACATATCAAGAAAAAAGTTGAAGGAGCTAAATCAGACGCTAAACAGGAAGAGGTTAAATCAAATCTTGATTCTATATTTTTTTTATCAGGACCGCTCATAAAATTAACCTTTTTTTTAAAAAAAATCTATTATCCTACTTTAAACATATTTTCTTGTTTTGATTTTAAATACCCAATTCAGCTTATGGCCATACCACCAAATGTAAGCAACATCAAGCCTAGTCAGTACCTAGATGGGTGACCACTTGGGAATACCAGGTGCTGTAATCTTGGATGTGCAGGTGGTATAATGGATAATGCCTCCAAATTGTT